CGGCGCGCTGCCACAACAACAAGCTGAAACTGCTTTCTCATATTTTTCCGAACGATATTCTTTTTACGACTATTACTACTGCAAGTACTACTAATATTACTGCTATTGTTACTCTATTACTAATCCCTCGTCTGTTATATTGCCGTTGTTGCTATTGCAAAAGCTCTCGTTGCTGTCGTTGCAGGCGCAAGCATCTTTGCTATTGTTATGCCATATTTACTTCGTATTTACTGCGAAGCATAGAAAAATGGAGCAAGAAAATTTTTGAAATCTTTCCTCAAGTTTTTCTCAAGTTAAGTAAATTTTTAATTAATCTTCTATGATATGCCATTCAATAACATCTTCGTACCTAGTGTTAACATTTGAAAGCGTGTTTTGTAAAAAGAAAAAAAATTGCACCACAATTTTCGGAAAATTTACTACTAACTGGAAAATTAGAATCTTTCGTCGAGTAGAGAGAACAGAAAGTGGGGATAAGGCAAGTGTCGTAAACATATTCCGCTTTGTAATTTTTATACGCTAACATTTCGTGCTCATTCGTCTGTTCCTGTTTATAGACTAGATATCTCTTCTTGTTTGTTTTCATAGTTGGTTACGTAAGTGTTATGCTTTCCCAAAACTGCTGAACCAACCGAAAAGTTCACAGTTTTACTGTTTGCGTCTGTACATGTCTCCGTCATGCGCTTCACTTAGTTACAAGGTTATATATATGTATGTATTCGTTATTTTACAATAATAGTTGTTTTCATATGAACAGCATAACGAACGTTCTTCTTAATTTTTTAAAAATTTTTTTCCATGTGTGTACTTTTTTCTGGAGCAAAACAAAACATTTGTTAAGTGACTCGAAACACACTTGTATACCAAAAATATGTGCTTAACATACATATACTGCTACATATGTATATATTTATATATACGCATATATATATATATATATATATATATATAAATGACAAATATTTTTACACATTTGCTCCTATTATTTATAAGAGAAATGTGTTCACAGTTTCTTCCTTTTTCAAGTAAACATTTTCGCTTGTATGTGTACTCATTCATTCATAACATTTAATAGTCCTCTTCAGATGAGTTGGTACGATTCCGGTTGACTGTGCCTGCCATAGTTTACTTTTTTTTGCCCGTACATATATGAGCACATATATAATTCCTAAGTTATTTCTCTGACTCTCATAAATCCAAATATGAAGTTTTCTTTTTCTATCTTATTCACTTTAGTGTTGTTCAGCACATTATTTCTTTTAAAACTATATTCTTTTGCAACTTTATAAGAAATGGACATTTACGTAAGTTGTTTTTTCTTTTAGTTTCTTTTAGTATTTTCTATCTGATACCACAAAATTTTTCCAAGCTGATTTACTTTTAAGAATATTTTTTTACCTTCGAAGGATAATTCGTTTCGAGTCACATTCATATTGCTTAAGCGGATTAGGGGATCGTTTTATTGCAAAGGAGATCTAGCTGATATGGTTGTTAACACTTTGAAGAGGAGAGAATAACTTCTATAATCGCAATAACGCAGCTTGGTATTCCATTAGCAATTTTCACTTAGAAATATTGATCGACTTTAAAAAACATTCAAGAGTCAAATGTAAAATAAAAAGCCTATTGTCAATAATGCATTCAGAATTCGATCTTCTCTTACTCCTCCAGCTATTATGTTGGTTCATTTACAAAATCGATTCAGTTATCAGATTTTTTTCCGGTCACCGTCACCTATCCCAACATGAGTTGAATGAGCTGAAAACCTTGGATCATTTTTTAATTTTCTTTAGTGAAGTTATCAGATTCGTGCCTCCAACTTTAGCCTTGAAATTCAATTATCATTTAACCGATTGATTTTTATTAAAACAATTGAGTGTACTTTCGTTGTAATTATATAAAATTTTTGTTAATAAGACCTTTCAACTTCGCATGTATACGACACTTACATGTCATGTAACTACGTACATTGACCTACGGCTTCATACTTATAAATAATAACAACAGTACAATGGGACACGGCTAATCAGAGAAAGAGTCTCGTACGAAAGAGCGAAACTAAGTTACGTTTCTATTTTTTCAAAACAATTCTTACATATGCTTCCTAATAACCAGGAGAACTATGTCATTAGCACAGATTCTCTGTCAGCTATAAACGAATGTTACCGCTCCCTTTCTATGAATGGTACACTTGAGGCGTACTGACGTAGCTGCGTTCCGCAAAGTGACTTAACTAATGAAAAAAGAAAATTTAAAGACAAAATTTGTATATAAATAAAAGAATAGAAGAAATAAATATGAAGAAGAAGATGAAAAAGTAAAACATGTACACCGATGCACACTCCTAGCTAAAGTGAAAGCGAACTAGAAGTGTGCCACTGAAGCAAACACAAACGTGCCAAAGTTTAGCAAGCGAGATTAACACATTAAGGCTGTTAGCGAATCATATAACGCATTAAAGATTCAAAGTCAATTCAAGTACGACGTCATAAATATTCGCAGTCTAATGAACAGACTTTATTTTATAGCGTTTAAAAAATTATAGTATTCGATTAAGATTTAATTATAGATGTAACTCAAAATGTTTGCAAAGGGTTCGAATCATAGCATAAAATATATCTTCTTCGGATGAGCTTTATGAAAGTAACGCTCTAGGGTGAGCTTTATGCAAACAATTAAGTTCTAGAAAAACGCTTAGGAAACTTGAGGTTTATCGCAGTTAAAAAAGGCAACGTGTCTTTAACACTACTTATTAACCTAGAGTCAACCATTACGTTTCGCTGGGAAAGATGGAGGTTTAAGTAGGAGGCACGTACCGGATGACAAAGGGATTAGTGACTCCTAGAGCCAAGCGCCTGATGGCGAAGAATAGTGCCTGAACTGATGCAATTGAACGCATACAGCATCGATAAAAAGAAGATCGCATGACAGACGAACACCCAAGTATCGGACCAACAAGACTCGGACTTAACTTCTTGCTGACATGTGGATCATTGAGTTTTGTATGCTAATGTTTAATAAAGCGTACCATTGAACGCATGGAATCGCTAGATTTATTTTCCCAATCAAGATACAACATTTCCGTGCTTTTCTTCTACGCATTTATTTTTACATCGTATTTAGGATTCATTCATTCGGATCATAAGAATTCGTAAGTGCAAAAGCTTTATTTAGTAAGTAAGCAACGAAAATGAAGATATTTCATGAAAATAAAAGAAAATACGAGATAAGTGCTGCGCAATTAAAATTGGCATTCTCATATAATTTTCGCAAATTTTTGTCGTTATGTACCAATTTAGTCGTTTTGCGTACCTTGCGACAGCCAACATTGAAAAAAAACGACGTCTATTTAAAATGGAACATGAGAACGCACTTAATCTGTTCCGCTATTCGGGTCAAATTACAGCATATAGAGGCACACAGGATTTTCAACGCAATGTTATGTACTTGAAGAACAAACATAATGACTGCGTTGAATAGAAAATGTTAAAAGTTGAAAGAAAGTTCTTTCCATATATTTTGACATAGACTTCTTACCATATATATTGCCTTGTTCGGCCTATTCCGTTAAGATGGACACACCACGTCCGCACTTAATAAATCGATAGGATGACAGACGAACGAAGAATGGCATTGCGTTTGTAAAATGGCATATAGATGTCACCACTGTCTATAAGCCAATGCGAGATGCCAACCAACCCCTTCTGCCTGAAACATAGCTGTAAAATAATAGTCAAAATGTCACGAGATTTCGACACATTTTGTTTGAAGATTGGTAGTATTTAGAGATCGTACGGACTCGTCAGCAGTGGTAATATGTACATTTCATCCTACGACCATATTAAGTAATATGCACAGAGGCATACAATTTATTTATTAAATTCCGGTACAGAACAACTCATTAGCCGAATGTAAGCCGCAAAATAACTTAATTGTAGTAAAGAGAAAAAAAGAAAATAACTTATGATATGCATTGGAACTAAACTCAGCACTAAATTGAAATACAGGGGAACAAGTTGATGACTGAACACCTGCTTTTTCATATCAATAGAACAAATGAGAAAAAGATTAAATAGGATAAGACAGCTTGTTTATGCAGTAATGGCATGCCAAGAATGCTCTTGAATTGTATTGATGAGCGGTTACGTTTCCCCTATTAGGAAATAGAGAATAGCAGTCGGTCCGGTAATTACTCTTAAGCAGGGAGCAAAAAGCAATTCATTTCAGCACCTTTTAGTTTCTTCATTAGCAAGTTTTACCAAGAGATTTTCCCCTTTTTCCCTTGCTAACTGAACCGACAGATTTCTCTTTCCGCTTCTTCAATTAGAAGTTCAGATCTTGCTCTGTTGGGCTCGGCTCTTATTTCAGCTGAATGAGATATTGTTCTTGGATTTTTCTTTTAATTGAAAGCGGCCTATGTAGGGCACCTCATGGCGAAAGGCCTTATCAATTAGTTAACTCTCTTTCAGCAACAAATTATTAAAAAGACTAAAAGGTAAAGTTCTAGCAGTTCTTAGTCAGCGCCATCTGTTGTATGCACAATTGTTGAATTGAAGAGATCGTCTTTAATAGCTTGATTATTACAGACCAGCAGTAAGTGGTAAACATTTAATCACCATCAAGCAGTTGTAATGGGCCTATCCAGCGCTAACTTTCAAAGGTGACTTAGATCGACGTAATTCGGCCGCTCGTAACAAAGCCGAAGTTAGGCATTATTATTATTAGGCATTAATATATACTTTATCTCTTGGTAATGTTGAAACGAATGTGGAACAGCTGCGAATTTTGAAATAGCAATAAGTGATCGCGATATGTACATCATCCCCTTTCACACTGCAATTAAATTACACTTTATTTTGTTAGGCAAGAAACGACACGATATAATATAAATGCCAACAATAATTACATCGTTGAATAAACGTAAAGAAGTGTTTTTTTTTATTTCTGGTTTAATTTCAATTTCTCATCCCGAGTTTTTCCTTCTTTTTTTCTTTTTACAGGAGGCGTGTCAAAATTATGTGCGTATCATGGTGGTTACGTCGCCAGGTCGTTTATTTGTCTGCGGTACGAATTCATTTCGTCCCATGTGCAACACTTACATAATCAATGACAACAACTACACTCTAGAGGCAACTAAAAACGGCCAGGCCGTATGTCCTTACGACCCGCGACATAACTCAACTTCGGTATTTGCCGGTAAGTTTAGTTTAACAAAGAAAATGCAATAAACCTTCACGTTATATAAGAATACATAGAATCCTACTTTGATATACATTGTTCTAAAAAAAAAAAAGCCTTTGAATATCGTTCGAATGAATCTTCCCTATGTCCGTCCTTAAACGATTTTGTTAAGCACATATCAAACCATCAAAACCATCAAACATATGACAAAAATTTCTATTGAAAATTATATCAAATTGTTTGTGTACGGATGTGCGGATTAAGTTTAATTTGGGCAAATTTGCTTAGAAGGCTCTTATTTGCTCTCTATTTTGACTTCCCCAAATAATAAATACTTCGATAGAGGGATAGGACATGCATGCGCCAGTCGTTCCTTAGCCTCTTTCTCTCTCATCATAATCGGGAATTTTTACTTACAATGGTGACTAAGTTACACATCCAATGAAATCGTAGGTATACCTTGTTTTAATGTAATGGACGTAAAAATGTTGTCTGCATATTTATATATGCGAATATAAGCGAAAATATATGGAAATCCAAGCGCGCGGCTTACACATCAACATGTAAATGAGCCCCTGTGTGAAAAGGTTTTAAGTATAAAACTTTTTCATAGGTTCATGACTGAAATGATAACGATAACGACGATAATAATGATGATGATGATGATGACGGAATTTATCGGCCTTAAAAATAACTTTATCCTTTATATGTGCATCTAGAAATAAAACAATAAAAAAAAATAAAAAAAAAAATAACTTGCATATGCAAACCATAAAAATGTACCATCAATGTACCTTGTAAAACAACGGTAGGCATTTAGGCAAAACCGAAAATACGCTTTTCAGGTGCACGGATGCCTTTACATGTTTATATATTCGTTTCTAAACTTTTGC